GGAGGAGGAGGAGGAGGAGGAAGAGGAGGAGGAATCACTACTCAGCAAGACGTCAAGGCGGAACTGAGACTAAGCCATCTTAGTGACTAACTTTTAATTTTAAGGAAATTCTAATCTATCTAAATGACTGAAAATTACTAAAGACTCTCTTTCCTATATCCTGCATTTTCTACAGTACTGCTGCTGCTGCTGCTGCTGCTTCTATGATGATGATGATGATGTTGATGATAACAACGACGATGGTGGTACTGGTGCATAAACATAACAAAAACATCAATAATATCAAGAACAGCAACACATAAATCATCATTATCATCATCATCATTATCGTATACAGCAGATAGTAAAACGGTTAAGATTTGGTAGTACAGTATTTCCAAAATATTTAATGACAAGTTCAACGTTTCGCCCCCAACGGGCTTCATCAGGAACATTCAAAATACATGTATAAATTACTATACTAACTATAGAAACCAAAAGTGCGTACATTCATCATCATCCTCCTCCTCCTCCTCCTCCTCCTCCTCCTCATCATCATCATCATCATCATCATCATCATCCTCATCATTGACATTGCACCAACCTAAACTTCTGAAACACTGGCGGCATTTTCCCCTGTATGTTCCCGGGAGACAGGAGGCGCGGCAAAATGTCGATGTAGGCCAACGAGGGCGGCTCTGGTTGGCTGTGCTGGACTGACGTCACATACTGGCCGAACACTTCCTCGTAAGAGGGTGGTGGGTGACTGGACTCCACATGTTCAGCGAGGACGGGAAGAACGTCCGGTTCCGGCTCGTGTTTGGAGGACATGTTGTTCTGTTCTAAAAAGATGACATAAATATTGACGTTGATTTGTTCTAAAAGGATGACATTAAGTCATGACGTTGATTTATTGTTTGAAAAGGATGACTTAAATAATGACGTTGATTTGTTCGAAAAGGATGACATAAAATAATCATGACGTTGATTTTAAAAAAGTTTTAGTAGAGGTTTTACGGCGCTCGCAACTGAAGGTCATATGAGCGCCAGAAGATTAGAGCTGTTACAAGAGAGTAATAAACATAAAAAAGATGAATGGGAGATAAGGACGATAGATGTTTGAAAGGAAAGAAGAAGCAAACCACACCAGAGCACCCGCAAACCACCTACGATTTATTGTTTGAAAAGGATGACATGAATTCTGATTTTGACTTTGATTTATTGTTCGAAACGGATGACTTAAATAATGACGTTGATTTGTTCGAAAAGGATTACACAAATCATCACGTTGATTTATTGTTTGAAAAGGATGACATAAATCATGAGATTGATTTATTGTTTGAAAAGGATGAAATAAATAATGACGTTGATTTGTTTGAAAAGGATTGCATGAATTAGGATAATGTTCGTATGTTCTAAAAGGATGGAATACATTATGATAATGTTTGTTTGTTTTACAAGGATGGTATTTGATAAATAATACATTGATTTGTTCTAAAGGGATTACATAAATGTTAATTTTCACGTTGATTTATTGTTCGGAAGGCATGACATAAATAATGCGTTGATTTGTTCTAAAGGGATTACATAAATGTTAATTTTCAAGTTGATTTATTGTTCGGAAGGCATGACATAAATAATGCGTTGATTTGTTCTAAAGGGATTACATAAATGTTAATTTTCAAGTTGGTTTATTGTTCGGAAGGCATGACATAAATAATGCGTTGATTTGTTGTTGTTTTTTTAAGTAAAG